TTTCAGTTGAGTTTGTCTAGTTATTGTATTTGGTGATTTTGTATATGGTTTTTGATTTTGTTCCTTGTGCCCCTGCTTGTCTTTACCTGTCTGTAATTCCCCAGTGTTCTGATTCTTTGGTTAGTTCTTAGTTTCCCTGTTTAGTTCCTTTGAGTATTAGTTTCACCTGTACCCCGTTTCCCTGGTCTTTCTTAATTAGTCTCACCTGTCCTGTGTTAGTCTCGTTACCCCTTAGTATTTTAGTTCCTGCTTCTGTTCAGTTCCCCAGTGGTTCATTGCGTGTGTTTTTTCTGTTTTTTTTTTTTTAATAAACCCCTTTCTGTTCCTGGAGCCGCTAGTGGGTCGCCCACCCTTTTTGTACCTGATGCCACGTTCCCGCACCCAAGCTGCCCGGAACCATAACAAAATTAATTTACCATGAATTTCCTTCACCCATGGCTCCAACATGCTTCTTCTTCAGGTGCTCATGCACTGATGATGTGCTCCCGTGCCATGTGAGATCAGCTGTGCACATTTTGCTGTTCTTTGAAGGCATTAATATAAAGTGCTCCCATACTTTTGATGACTTGGGTTGTGCATTTTTCTCTCTGCTAATGTTAGCCTCCTCTGCTGAAACGTTTTCCTCTGCTGTGTCCCCACCATTTTTAAACGTTTTTTTCAGTTCTTCCAGAATGTCAAGGCACAGCATTGGTTCTCGTCTCCTTTTTGTTTTATATCGGTCAGCATCCAGCTTAATGGTGTTTTGCTACCACCGCGGCTTTGGTTAGCTTGCTGCTCCCAGATTAGGGGGTAGCAATTGTACTTATGTGTATAATAACATAGACCTAACTAATCGATTATTAAATTAGTTGACAACTATTTTAATAGTCAATTTTAATCGATTTAATCGATTAGGTGTTGCAGTCACACATGAAATGTCACCTTTCTGGCAGGGAAGGAGCCTGAGCTGGTGCACAAGGTTGTGAGGTTCCGACTAGATATAGTCGGGCTCACCTCGATGCACGGCTTGGACTCTGGGACTCCTCGAGGGGGGTTGGACCCTCTTCCACTCTGGAGTTGCTTGTGGGGAGGGGTGCCAAGCAGGGGTGGGCATACTTATTGCCCCCTGGCTGGGCGCCTGTGTGTTGGGGTTTACCGCGGTGGACGAGAGGGTAGCCTCCCTTCACCTTTGGGTGGGGGGATGGGTCCTGACTGTTGTTTGCACTTATGCACCAAATAGCAGTTCAGAATGCCCACCCCTTTTGGAGTCCTTGGAAGGGATGTTGGAGAGTGCTTCTCCTGGGGACTCTTTTGTTCTGCTGGGGGACTTCAATGCTCATGTGGGCAAGGACATTGAGACCTGGAGGGGCGTGATTGGGAGGAATGCCCCCCCCCCGATCTGAACCTGAGTGGTGTTTTGTTATTGGACTTCTGTGTTCATCACAGATTATCCATAATGAACACTATGTTCAAAAATAAGGTGCACTTGGCATCAGGACACCCTAGGCAGCAGTTCGATGATCGACTTTGTGGTTGTGTCATCGGACATGCGGCCGCATGTATTGGACACTTGGAATGTATGGAGGAAAGAGGATGGGGCATTTATTATCTCACCCTGGACTGAACACCTGTCTATAAAAGTATGTCTTAAAAGCACATTTAAAAGCAGCAACTGATGTGTTTTGTTTAACATACAAAGAGGCAGATAGTTCCATGGCCATGGGGCAACAGCTGAGAAAGCACAATCACCTTTTAGTTTAAGTTGAGACCTTGGAACATCTAAAAGAAGCATCTTGAAGCCATACGAGTTTTGATTAGACCTCATATGTAAGATGGGACCGGACCATGCACAGACTTAAAAACATAAAGTAAAACTTTAAACTGAACTCTATAGTGAACAGACAGCCACTGAAGATATGCTATAATTGGGGTGATGTGATGTCTTTTCTTAGTATCAGTAAGAAGTTCAGCTACAGCATTGAGAACAAGTTATAAACATGACAACGAGAACTGATTAATACCAAGATAGACTGAATTACAGTAATCCAGTTATGATGAAACAAAAGCATGGAGAATTCTCTCTAATGCATGGTGTGGAATAAAGTGTTAATTCTGGCAATGGACCTTAAGTGGAAAAAGTAGCTTCTGACCACAGAATTAACTTGATTGTCAAATTTAAGGTCTGAATCAAAAATCAGTCCTAAATTCCTTACATGTTCCTTCACAGGTGATGATAAACACCCAATGGAATTGGTGAGATCTAGAACATGGTTTGTGGGACAAAAAATGATCAGCTCTGATTTGGCCCCATTTAGTTGAAGAAAGTTGTCTGCCATCCACATTTTAATATCTTCCAGACAGTTTTATAAAGGTTTTAAGATGTCCAAGTGATTATGCTTTATGGGAACATAGAGCTGCGTAGAGCTGAAGAAACATGCATTTCCACAAAATGTCACAGTGTATGCAATTAACTCATTAGTCGAATGAAATAGACTCTGAGACGGCAACCCTCACAGATTGATTATTTCTTCTAAGACAAAAAATTCATTCAATTAGTACAGTCCTACAAGTGTAAAAGCATTGTAATTTCTAATCATGCCCCTTTATCACTGATGTTAACCCTTCCAGCAATAAGTGTCGCCAATTTTCCAAGCTCCTCCTCCCTTCCTTCCTCAATCATGAACATGACCCCAAGATACTTAAACTCCTCTGCTTGAGGCAGTAACTCTGCCCTGCCAGGAGAGGGCAATCCACCCGTTTCCAGTCAAGAACCATGGCCTCAGATTTGGAGGTAATGATCCTCATGCTGGCCACTGCAAATCACACCAGTTCATGCTACAGGTCACAGCCCAACGATGCCAGCAGGACCTCTGCTTGGCTACACTTAACAATTCTGTCCATAAAAGTTATGAACAGAATCAGTGACAAAGGGCAGGCCTAGTGTAGTTCGAGACCCACCGGGAACAAGTCTGACTTACTGCTGGCAATGTGAACCAAACTTTTACTCTGTTTGTACAGGGACCTGTGGGCCTGCAACAGTGGTTCCTGTACCCCATACTTTTGAAGCACCTCCCACCGGTCCCCTTGAGGAACATGATTGTATGCCTTTTCTAAGTCAACAAAACACATGTAGACTGGTTGGGCAAACTCCCATAAACTGTCCAGTATCCTTGTCATGGTGAAGAGCTGGTCCAGCATTCCGTAACCAGGATGGAATCTGCATTGTTCCTCCTTGATCCATGGTTCAACCAATGAGAGGACCCTCGTCTCCAATACCCCAGCATAGACCTTCCAAGGCAGGCTGAGGAGTGTGATGACACTGAAGCTGGAACACATCTTCCGGTCCCCTTTCTTAAAGATTGGGACCACCACCCCAATCTGCCAATCCAAAGGCACTGTCCCCAACATCCATGCAATGTTGAAGAGGCAGATCTCATCCACCCCTCAGAGTTTTTTGACTTCAGTAACTTCAACCACAGAGATGGGCAAGTTCCCCTGTGAGTCTTCCAGCCAAGGAAGGCATATCAGTGGGATTCAGGAGATTGTCGAAATATTCTTTCCACTGTCTGCTGACTATATCCCCAGTTGAGGGCAACAGTTCTCCCTCCCTGCTGTAAACAGCATGTGTAAAACCCTGCTCCCCGCCCGACAGTTTGCCAGAATCTTTTGGAAGCTGACCGAAAGTCCTTCCCTATGGCCTCATCAAACTCCTCCCAAACCCGAATTTTTACTTCAGCAACTGCCAAAGCTGCTTTCTGCTTAGCCTGCCAATACCTGTCAGCTGCTTAATGCTCCCACAAGCTAACCAAGCTCAGAAGGTCTCCTTCTTCAGCTTGACAGCTCACTTTACTGCTGGTGTCCACTACCGGGTTCGAGGATTGCCACCACAACAGGCCCCAACAACATTATGGCCACAGCTCCGCACCACCACCTCAGCAATGGAGTCCTAGAACATGTCCGATTCGGGCTCAATGTTCCCTGACTCGTGCAGGAAGCAAGAGAAGTTCTGCCGGAAGTGTGAGTTGAAGATCTCCTGGACAGGCGCCTTCCAGCTAACCTTCACTATGCGTTTGGGTCTACCCACTATATCCGGAATCGTCCCCCACCCTTGGATCCAACCAGGTGGTGATCTGTTTGTTAGGTATCCGGGCGGATTTGGTGCGAGGGCCTGGCATGGTGCAGGTAGATAGGAAGGTGGATGACCTACTTGCGGCTCACCAGACAAAACGGGGTTTATTTAAACAGAAAAACACTAGAAATGATTACAAAAAAAAACAAAACATAGAGTCCAGCCCCTCTCCAGGAGTTTGGTTCATGGGTCCGAGCCGTGTGTTGGTAATTACGACCTTCTTAGTTTAAAATGTCATGTCATTAAATACACAGGACTAAACAAGCAAAACAACAAACAGCTGATTACAATCGAGGTTTCACACGAGGTAAATGAGGGGGTGTGGCACACAGGAGGAGCTGGGCGTGACACTTGTGTTATAAATGCAATTCACATGTTGGGTCATCTTTTCATTTGTTTTGGTCTTGTGAACAAAAAGTTCTGGAAAGAGGTTCATTTTGTAATCCAAAATATTAGAAGCAATTTAATATGTCCCCTGTTTTCTATTTATTGTATTACATTTGTGGTCTACCCCTCATGTTCCCACTGTTAACATGTGGTTGACACAGATATCAGTCCTTTTCCCAATGGAAAAATTGACATACGATCTAAACCATAAATCGGACAGATTCTTAGCTGACTTTCATGTGCAAGGATGCTGTGGCAAAATGTAATTTTATGTAGAGGACACAATTACATCTCTAAAAATGTCTGTGCCCATTGTTGTTTTTTTGGGGAGGGAAGGGGTAGATGCTGACCTAAAGCTTCACTCTCATTTCTGTATGTTTTAAAAGGAGAGCAAGATAGGGTATGCAAAAATTAAGATATTCGTCTCATTTGATAATGGTAGGAGTAAACCATTTGAGTCATTATTAGAAGGCTTATTTCATCTTTTGTCTTTCTGGATTTACAGGCGAGCACAAAAAATGTGCCCCAAGTCTGGATACACCAGTACCATCAGGGTTCTTCTTCAAAGATCGCTGGACATCACTGGTGTGTCACACAAAGATGTTCTCTAGCTCAGATGTGATTCGCTGCCTCACAGGCAAGCAGATACACATGATGGGAGACTCCACCCTGCGGCAGTGGTTTGAGTATTTGGAGAAAGCTGTGCCCAGTAAGAGTCCAGTTTTCCTCTAGAACTAATATTTATATAGCGGACCAGTATTTCTACCAAAAGAAAAAGCAGCTTGTACAAGAATAATAATTATTGTATGAATTAAAATTTCAAATTTAACTATTTGCATTATTTCTACTGCTAACTCATGCCGTTCTCTTATGAGAAGTTTTCAATAACTATATTTCAATTTCAGTATCAGTTTCAGTAAATTTTCCAGTGGTAAATCCAGTTTAATTCCGATCTTTATTTCTTGTTGAAATTTCCTCCACTGAACTGAAATGCCTTATCTGTCATGATGATGTTATAATGTCTCAGAGACTGACCACTTCACTTTCCCACAGCCTTGAAGCCTCTGAACCTTCACGCCTCTGGAAAGTCAGGCCCTCTGATGATAGTGGACACTGCGTCAGGCACTCTCATCACCTGGCGCGCACATGGGCTGCCTCTGCGCACCGACAAGACCCCCATGGCTGATCTGCACTACATCGCTAATGAGATTGACAACCTGGCTGGAGGGGAGCACATGGTCATCGCATTTGACGCTTGGGCGCACTTCACCACATACCCTCTGGCCTATTACGTGAACCGTCTGGCCATCATCCGCAGGTCAGTGGTGTCTCTGCTGCAGAGGGCTCCTCGCACCCTGGTCATCATCAAGTCGGCCAACACGGGCTATAAGGACATCTATGGCAGTGACTGGCTCTCCTGGCAGCTGGACTGTGCTCTCAGGGCCATGTTCCAGGGGCTGGCTGTTGTCCTGATAGACACCTGGCAGATGACATCCTGCCACTACTCCCCCGATAACATTCATCCACCTTCCATAGTTATCGAGAACGAGGTAAACCTCTTCCTGTCTTTCATCTGCCCTCAATGAGCCACAGCAGGGGGACATCTCCTATCTTCCTTCCTCTACCAAAGTGAAACATCTAGGACGATGAGACATGAACCCATACAAAAGGACAAATACAAGAAGCAAGAACCAGAATGGAGGAACTAAATTTACTAACAAATTTTGTGTCATGTGGAGCTTTGTGAAGCTACGGGACTCCAAGACTCATCACAAAATGCTGCAGTCAACCTGTTTGCAAAAATAGGAAAGTTTGATAGGTATCAGGACTTTCAGGTTGGGTTGCAGGTCAGGAAGGATGTCCATAATCTCTGCATAAATGTAACCCTTAGTCCCCCTGGTCGGCTGGATAGGTCTTGAGATGCAGGAGTTAAGTGTCCTTACATTATTGTCTAGCAAGTGGTGGCTGCAAATTGAGTCCCACCAAGCAGTGTCACAGCAGCACCTCTAAGACCCACAGCTTATGGACAGATGGACTATACTTGATACAGCACCTCAGACAGCACCCCTCCACACAGACACATATGTTGGCGTTCCTATATAAATGGGGACCTTCCATTTATTTCTATGGGGAAAACCCTAATCCCAATCATGACACCCTTAACCATAAGTAACCAAACAAAATACAAGCCTTTTGGCACTTTTACTTTTTTGAGTGCATTCACAGACTTTTATAAAATTGAGGTTATCCAAATGGGGACCTGAAAAATGTCCCCAAAATTAAGGAGGTATCAGGTTTTACCACACTTTGGGGACATTTTGGTCCTTAAAAGAAATGTGATCTATGCAAACACACACACACACACTAATAATTGGTTTCTGGTGTTTCATTCAGACCCATTGCCAAAGGTATATAAAGTCAACCACCTAGCCATGCATTCAGGTTTACAAACATTTGTGAAAGAATGGGCCATTCTGAAGAGTTCAGTGAATTCAAGCATGGTACAGTCATAGGATGCCACCTTTGCAATAAGTTGTGAAATTTCCTTCCCTACTAGATATTCCATGGTCAACTGTAAGTGGTATTATTGCAAAGTGGAAACGTTTAGGAACAACAGAAACTGAAGGCTCACTTTGTGAGACACGGAATTGTTCTCAGACAATGGCCCACAGTTTGCGTGTGAGGAGTTTAGGAGATTCAGCAGACAGTGGGAATTCCAGCACAAGATATCCTCACCAGGTTATCCACAAAGCAATGGAAATGCAGAGTCGGCAGTAAAGATGGCTAAACGGCTGTTGATCAAGGCAGCAGGCCAAGATCCATACCTGTCCGTCCTCGTTCATCGAAATACACCATCACAGGGGCTCCAAGCAAGCCCAGCACAGAGACTCTACAGCAGGAGGACCAGGACACTGTTGCCAATGAGTGACAACCTGCTCCAGCCAAAGGTAATCCACACCCATCAGGGACTCATACAAAAAACAAATAGAACAGAAAATGTACTATAATAGATACGTCAAAGACATGGATACACTTAAGCAGGGAGACACTGTTCGCATTCAACCTGTAACACCACACAAGATATGGAAGAAAGCAGCAGTACTCGGACCAGCTGACAATAGGTCATATCAGGTAAAATTGGAAGATGGGAGTGTTTTGAGATGAAATAGATGCCATCTGAGACTTAAGGAGAGAACTTCGGAGCGCAATGTAATTTCCAACATTGACAGACAAAACGACACAGTCGTATCCCAGGCTGAATCTGAACAACCTTCTGCTGTCACCACATGATCAGGAAGAACTGTCCTTAAACCCCACTACCTTAAGAACTATGTCACAGGAAGACAAGTCTTATGGACAGTCAGAGTTATTACTGTTTAGTTATATTTGTTCGTATGTGACATGACAGGATTGATGTCAAGGTCTTGTGTTACAGCATGGACTGTTTTGTATGTAACACTGGAAGTTTGATGGTTTTGTGATGTGACTTGATAGAGAAATAAGTTGTTCAAGTTAGAGTGGTGTGCGCAACCCTTAATGCGTTATATAAGTCCATTCTGTATGAGTAAGGCAGAATGTAACAATAAGCACTGAATTGGCAGTGAAGAAAGGGGCGGCTTAGCAGCCACAACACCTTTTAAAAGAGGAGAAATTGTGGATAAACAAAGTAAAAAGATGGTGGTGTGGCGCTACATTTTGCTGATTTAAGTCCGACCATTTCTTTTTAAAAAATAAAATATAGTTTTCACTTTTATTCCAGTTGTCAAATTATTTTATTTAGTATCCATTTCCTTTTCAGTTTTAGTTTACGATAATAACACTGGTCCCAACAAGCCCAATGCACACAAACACACACTGGCACTGTCATGTACCGTGTCGGACGAGCGAGCGGGGTGCGGGAAAGCAGGATCAAGGAGACCGGAATCCAAGGGCAATGGGGTTTATTTAGGGAAAACAGACAGACAGGGGAGCACTAGGTAAACAACGTCAATGACAGACCTGGGGAAACAGACTTGAACGCGGACTAAATACAGGACATGACATCAGAATAAACGCAAGACAGCTGGTACGATGGGAAGTCACACGTGGGTAACAAGGTGGCACACACGAGGACTGGATGCACAGGTCATGACAGGCGCTATCAATCCACAGAATAAGCCCAGATTTTAGCTTAAACAATTTCACAAACACTCATTCAGAGGAGATTCTAAGGTAGTAAGCAGACTCCATGGCTAAAATAATGAGTCTATTTAGCAACTAAAAGGACAAAAGATATTAAAAATCTCTCTGAACTAATGATAATTTAATAAACATGAATAGACAACACTTATGGTGGTTTTGCTTATTCTGGCGGTCCAGAATTATGCCTGTGGTTTGTCTTCAGGCACTCAAGCATAGTGCTAATGCCCCTGAAATATGCCATCGCACTTTACAGTATAAAACCACCTTTTTGTTTTGTGATAATTTTAACTACTCCCATAATTACGTAGTGATATTAAAGGAAAACATTTCTTATAATGAATTGAACCGTTTTAAAAATCACAAGATATGGTCATTTTATTAAAATAATACAAAAAAACTGTCACGATCGGGTTGAAGGCAAGCAGGGAAGCAGGGAAGAGGAGCCAGGAAGTAGGGTCAAACGTGGATTTATTACGGGAAGCAGGACCGGGGAAGCACGACAACAAACAGCAACATCAATGACCGGACTGGGGATACAAACGGAAACGCGGAGTAAATACACTGAACTAATGACAACAATCCGAAACAGCTGTAAAACACTGGGATTCCACATGAGGTTAACGAGGGGGCGTGGCACACATTAGGATCGGACGGAGCGGGGTGTGACAAAAACGACAATCTATTTAAAATGTAGATGCATGTTGATGCATTTTCAGAGTTGACATCATTGACTATACAGACTAATCGAACAGCCCTAAATTAATTCCATACGAAACACATATGAAATACAATTTACCAAAGTATTTTGTTCTTTTCTTGTCTTCCCTCTCCCTATCAAAGTAGTCCATTAATCCATATTGCGCAGTAGTTCCTTCTGGGTCCCGAACTTATTTTATGTGAATTTGCGGAGAGAACAATACTTTTCCAGGATCCAGCGCAGAAGTTGAAGTTATCAGGTGAACCTGAAAGCCTGACACTGCGGACCTTGAAGACACTGAAGGGAGCGGCAGTGGACTTCACATTATTCCCTGCTAGCCAACCTAACACCTTGGTCTTGCACATCACACTTACCTGGTAGACAGACTTCAGCAAAGGTACAGGCACTTGAGGAATCTTCCACTCTTATCATTCAACAACGCCAAGCCACGGTTGTTCATAGGATCAGACCGCCCTCATTTGATAACACCATTGGCTCTCGTTCATTTCGGACCACCCGGAGGCCCTGCCGCGGTGAAGATAAGACTCGGGTGGACATTACAGGGCCCTGTGAAGTGGCTCCCAAAGCAGGATGAGATTCAACAGTGCATGTTGAAACCTTCGAAGACACTGGTACTTGTCTAAAAGTTAGTCTAGGACTTAAGCCAGATATCTTGGAAAAGTTGGATGAATACATTTTCCAGTATACAGTATATCCACAAAATTACCAGATAGATGAGGTTACAAAGGCACTGATTTAAAAGTTTCCCTGTTTTAGAGAATCAGGATCTGCAAGTGGGTACCAGAGCTGGATGATTAACCTGAAATATAAAATGGCAAACTACCGCACAAAGATGCGAAACATTGGATGTCCAGAAGTGATTCTGAATACACTGAAAAACAAATCCAGTGAGGAATACTTTCCTGCCAAAAATGTTAGGAAGGCCAGAAAGGCTGAAGTAAATGATTTTCCTGCCCACTGTACTGCAGACACAGCTGAAAGCCTAGAAAAGGTAAGTTACTGAATGATGTCAGACAGAGGAACAGTGGATCCATTGTACGGGAGAAGATGGCAAAAACATTTTCTTACAGAAGAAGAGAGGTAGTACAAGAAAGTCCAGTGGTTGGAGAATTCAAAACTAGATGGCCTGTGCTTTTCAGTGTAGAAGAGGTAAGTGGAAATTATATGTATTTTCATTAGGGTAAAATGCAAAAGAGTCTTGTATTGGGGGACAGACGAAGATGAGTACAGATGGGAGACTGGCATGTTTTAAGGCTTTTATCTTGTTCTGTGTACAACAGATTCTGGATTCAGGTTCTGAATTCCAGCACATAACAAACATCCTACTTGAAACCACCTTTCTGGCACAGTTGGATCACTATCTACCACAGATGACATCTGTTTTCCAAAAGAAGGGTGGAGTTTCTGGACAGAAAATGGCCAAACATTTTAAGATTTTGTAAGAAGTATGTGTTTCCTGTTTCTTGCTGTGATCGCTCTGTTCGCTGAGTGTTTCAAAAGATGGCGGTTGTATTTTGTGTTTCAGCGGCAGGCTATTTGCATAACCATCCATCCATCCATCCACCCATTTTCTCCAGCTTATCTGAGGTCGGATCGCGGGGGCAGCAGTCTCAGCAAGGAGACCTAGACTTCCCTCTCCCCGGCCACTTCATCCAGCTCCTCTGGGGGGATCCCGAGGCGTTCCCAGGCCAGCCGAGAGACATAGTCCCTCCAGCGTGTCCTGGGTCTTCCCC